TCACCATGGGAATCCCAGAGCCCTGTAGCTTGGGTAACAAAGCTGACCCCCCAAGCACACATGTGTATGACTAGTGCAGGGATTTGTGTCTATGTGTTTGAGAGATAGTGCCAGGCACATTGCTCCTTTCTGGGAAAAAATAAAATAAAAGTACTTACATGTTTAAAAAAAGTTCCTGGTGCTTTTTTCTATATCATATTTACAGGATATCAGAGATAGAAGCAGTCACCTGTATAATTCACCCACCTGTCCATAAAGACTGTTTCTCTTAGGATGACTCCTTAGAGCCTTCATCTGTGCAAAGCTGACTGTGAAATGATCTCAAAAGAAATCATTTTAAAATGAAGCAAAAACAGAGAGAGATGAATAGGCACAGTACTGAGAGTTTTAAGGTAGTGACACTATTCTGTCTGATACTATAATGGTAGAATACACATCACTATCCATTTGTTCAGATTCATAGAATGTAGTAGTAGCAAATGTGAAACCTGATATAAACTGAGTGTCAATCAGGTTTACTGATTGTAACAAGTGTACCAGACTATACATAGGTGGGGCAAAGGGTAGATGGGAAATCTCTGCACCTTCCTCCTTTGCTGTGAACTTCTCTAAAATCTATAGAATAAATTAAAAATATTTTTTAAAAGTGAAATGGTTGAATCTTGAAGACATTGTACTAAGTGAAATCAGCCAGTGACAAAAGGATCAGTTTTGTATGATTCCAGTTATAGGAGGTATTTAAGAGTTGTCAGAGTTATAGGGAGAACAAAGAATGGTGGTTCCCAAGGGCAGGGGAGAAGGACTTGCTGTTTCAGAAGAAAGAGTTTCCATAGGTAAATGAACAAGTTTTGCAGATGGATATTGGTGCTGGTTGTACGAAATGTGAATGTACTATTGCCTGAACTGGACACTGAACAATGGTTAAAAGGTTGAGTTTTACATTATGTCTGTTTAAGTTATATACACAGTCACATGCAATTACATACCACTATACTTGCATGCTTTTGTAAATGCATGTATACATATAAATTATAAATACATATATATAATTAAAAAAGGCAACAGTGTGAGGACATACACTGAGGTAGGACTACCAGTCAGTAGGATGGATATCTCCTCCTGGCTCTTGGGGCCAGGTGAAGGCTATCATAGGATTTTGACTTTTTGATGCTTCAGTGGTGATGGCCTCCTAGTGCAAAAAGGGCAGCGGAAGTATGTTGCTCATTCACACAGGTTTCTTCTCTACTCACATCTCTTCTTACATCCTTCTGAATTGGTCAAACTTTCTGACTGGAAATGGCAGCAAAGTTAGGTGATTTTCATGCATAGTCAGGTCTCAATAAATGATGTTTGTAGAAGTTGACATTTACCAGAAAAGCAGTTCGTAAGAGAGCTGCTTTTCACCTGCTGAGTGAGAATCAACTAAGAGGGGAGGTGCCCTCCTGAAAGGCAAGAGTTCCTTGGGTTGTTTTATCCATCTGCACTGCAAAGCAGGCCAGGGTGACAGCATCTAATTTGGAGATTAAATTACATTTCCCATAGGCTTTTCCCTTTTCTGGTTCCCTTATTTTGATTCCCAAAATCAAGTATCAGCAAGCATTCCTAGTAGAACTTGGTTGTGTGTATCAGGACAATATGGAACAGTCCTTAGGAGATCTGGTGACAGGTGGGTTGAAACAGAGAAGTTAGGTTTCATCGCTTACAGTATTGACACTAGTATAGTGAACACTCAGTACAGTGTTTTCTGAAATTTAAAAATTAGGAAAGTTTGCATAAAAATCTGGGCTTCTTGTTTTTCTTTAAAAAATTGGAAGATAACAGGAGCAACCTCATTTGCCCATCTGGCAACAGCCAGATGGCTCTGTGCTGCAGCTGCTGCACTTAGAAAAATGTATTAGTTAGAATAATGCAAGCTACTGGAACACATAGCCTCTCACATATCAGTAGCTTAACACAAAAAGTTGTTTCTCATTGCTGCATAACAAGCCCAGCGAAGATTCTCCTGTCTTCACCATCCCAAGGATCTGGGGGTCTGACCTCAAACTTTTCTCAATCACCTGGGTCTTCCAGTGACATCCTCTGTTTCATTCCATTGGTCGTGTGACATGTCAAGATGCAAGGCTTACTGAGAAACGTGGTGATGGGCAGGCAACTACTTCACAGGCAAGGACTGTACTTCATAGAAGGAAAGCAGACGGCAATGTGTGGGGTTATGCCCTTCTGCTAGCGGATAGCAATGCACATGTATGCACATTGAGCTGACACCTCTTTGTTCAGAGTTAAATTTCCTATCTTGGAGGCACCAGAAAGTGATGGATGCCATTTTCTGGCAGAGACTGAGCCATTCCAGGAGTGAAATGCTCTAAATCCAGATACGATGGAAGTGGGGGGGCTGCCAGGGAGACAAGGCTCTGTAAGATTCCTGGAAGTTGTTAACCACCTGGAATAAAGCCCCCCCCCACCCCACACTGATAATTAACAGTCTTTGTTTAACTCACCATAAAACAGCCAATTACAGCTGAGATGCTAGAATGGATTCTTAGAGCATGATGCTCTCAGATTAGCTGGCTGATGAAATAAAAGTGATTATTTAAAGATTCAATGCCTATCCTTTTTTTTTTTTTTTTTTTTTTTGGCTTTCTGATGTTACAGGCAAACCCCCCAGAATTTCCTGGAGCACATCTCCCCGCTAATGGGAAGTGTGCTCCACTTTGCCACAGTCCCCCACCAACACCTTCCTACCCCTGGACTTTGTGGTCCTGTTTCTGGAGCAGTGTGAGAACAATAAACATGGGAAAAGATGGATTCTTTCTACACTGTAAAAGGAATTCTCCTGGGCTGGGAGGAGGCACACAGGGCAGTGTGTCCCTGGAGCTAAGGGTGCTGTGTCCTGCCACTCTAATATCATCTAGGGAGATGTGGGGGCTCTAAGAGGGATGGCCAAGACATGGCTTGGTAGATGGGAGAATGACCACACCTCTCCCCAATTTCCTATTTCCTATGTCCCTGCAGTGACCCAGAAACAGCAGAGAGCTAACTGACTGAAGTAGTAGAGAGCTAGAAACCTGGGCAGTGGAGACAACTAGTCTTATTTGCTAGGGATTTTGGACCAAAGGGATGCATGGTTCCTCTCTGTCTCACCTCACTGGACTGGCACTGTGTAAATTCCTGGGGTTAGGGGCTTCAAGAGTGGTGAAGATTAACTTCCTCAGCAGGTTATCTGCTAGAAGTCTAAAACTAAATCACTGTATAAAAAAAATGGACATGTGGGGCCCTCTCTGGTGGCACAGCAGGTTAAAGCACAGCACTAAAAAGCTAATGCCACTTCAGCATGAGTTCAATCCCCGCCCCGGAGGTGACCACATGGCACAGCAGACCTTTCCTGACCCATCCACTGCTCCCCTTAGCAGTGTACTTCGTCAGTCAGTCTGTTCTGCTCCCCACTCTGTCTCTGGTGAGTCCTCTCACCACCCCTGCACCTCTGGCCTGTACCCCAGTTCTGCATGCATAAATGAATAAAACTTTAAAAAATGGATATGTGACAGTTCTTATGCAACTGAGTTCCTGCACTGAGATTCAGACCCTCTACTCAATTTTACAATTTTTAAAAATGTAGGTATTGAAAAAGCAGGAACTTGTGCATTTCAGCTTTTTTCCCCCTAGAAACGTTGCCCTCCAACTTCCCAGACTAAATCAGTACCTCCTATCCCAGCCCCACCTGCTCATGTAGTCACACCAAAAAGCAAATAAAAACCCCGACCTTTTCAAACCTGGGCTGCTGATGCTGTGACTGGTGTTAGAGGCAGACCCAACACAGACCCGTGTGTATTCCTGGCACATCAATTTTACACACTGGGGCAATGTTTTCATATTAAAAGAAGTTATGACATTATGAAGAAGAAAGCAAAATTCATATTTTAAAAATGATGCAACTACAGGTTTCAAAGAAATTTCTTTCTTACAGGGAAGGTGACTCCCTGATTCAAAACCCCATCTGAGGCTCTGCTGGAGTTCTCTTGAGAAGGACACTTGTGTAGAAAAGCATGAACCGCGCTGGCCAGGTGCGTGGCCTGGCTGGCTCTAGGCCTTCCCCATCTTTGGCTTTAGGTTTCCTAAGGATATCTCGGTCCTGTTCCTGTGACTATCTCCTCACATTTCTGAACTCACAGTTTGGAAGTGCTGGTGTAACTTGAGAACTGGGTTCCAGCTCACTCATTTAAAAAAAAAAAGCGAGCTAGCTATTTTGAAAGACTTCTGGTGTGCTGTGTGTGTGTGTGTGAGAGAGAGAGTGGGGCTTGGTGTGGGTGGGAGCTGGTGTGTATCCAGGCTTCTAGGCCGGCGTTCCTCCCAGCCTCCTAGGCCACCTCCATCCTTCAGTCCTGTACTTACTGCTTAAACCCGGTGGATGCACAAAGAACTTCATTCCTGCGCCACCACCCTGCCCTTGCCCATTTTTCACCTTTCATTTCCACCTTTGCGGGTTCTGCCTTTCTGGGGAAGTATCTGAGAAACGTGGGGGTGCTTAAAAAAGTTTTAGCGAATTAAAGACGGTTGGTTCTGAAACACACGCATCAGCGCTCAGTCCAAAGGCTGGTGGAGATGTGGTAAGAATCCGGGTAAGCGTGCTGATTTGCTGCACATCTTCCCAAGCTCCCAGAGAAGAGCTGAGGCCAGGGTCGGAAACAGCCTGACCTAGGGTGCTGCAGACTGGGGCACGCGGACAGGGGCAGTCTCTCCCCACCACCCACGATCCTCTCGCCCGCTCACAGCGGAGCAGGCTGGCTGGTGCAATCTCTCCAGCTCCTTGCATTGATCAAAAAAGGGGGCTGAAATTCTATACGCTAGGAGGAGCAAGCGCTCGCCGGCCACCGCTGGCGAGCGGGGCCAATGGGGATGCAAATTCCGTATGCGAACCAATCAGCGGGAGGCCTGCACAGCGTGGGCCAATAGGGAGTCGACTCGGCGTTGCTGTAAGCCTAAAGGTCTCGGCTGGCCGCAGACTCGCTCTGCCCACGCGATCGTCGCCTTCTGCCGACTAGCCACCCGCGCCGCCGCACCATGGACACTTCGAGGCAGGTGGTCAACTTCGGGGCCGGGCCCGCCAAGCTGCCACGCTCGGTAAGTCCGCGCGCGAGCTGGCGGGAGCGCGCTCGGGGCGGAAGTACTCTCTGCTGCCTGTGCATCCCAACCCCGGACGTTCGGAACACCCCGACCCCTTTCTCCCACCTCCTGGTCGCTCAAACGCTTTGCAGCTCCATGCACCCCCAGTTCAGGATCTGTCGCCGGTGGGCTTCTGGAAGAATGTTCGCGGTGAAGAAAGCTCAGCGAGGCTTGCCTTTGCAACTGCCCTGGCACCGACTGCCGGTGTGAGGCGTGCCCGACTCGTGCCCCGCCTGTGCAGCACACCTGCGGACTGGTGCAGTGCCTTAGACCCGGCCCGGGCGGGCACTGTGCAGAAAAAAAAAGATCTCATCTCTGCATCGCCGCGCCGGGCGGTGCTCGGAGCCGGGCATAGTTGAGTGGATGCATGAGTGCACATTGTGAGTGAATGGTGAATGGGCTCGTGTTAACTGGAACGGATTGCAAACTGGAGGCCCGCGCGCGACCCTGGAAAGTAAGCAGTGGATGGTTTAGTTTGCCCTCCAGACCTTTTCTTTTCACAAATGTAAAACTGAAAGCCTTAGGGCTAACATTTCTCTCCTCGCCTCTTACGCCCCCTCCCTCCCCACAATGCTTTCCTAAAGCTGTTCAGCCTCCCTTTAAAAAAAACAAACACAATAAAAAACTGGCTTTCCTCCTAAAGCATTCGAGTATTCAAACTCTGGCTTTGGGCTGCTAGCCCAGTTCGCTTTACTTTGTACTGGAACAGAAGGAACGATTGAATTCTTCCCTGCCAGTCAGGCCTTTCAGGTGCAAGTGGAACTCACTCCCTGCCTTTCCCCAGCATCTGACACACTACCCATCACCCCCTCTGTGAAGGAGCATTCTCTGGTGTGCCTTGAACACACTGACAAGCTGCCACTGCTGTTATAATTTTATTTTTCTAGTCAAGATGAAGCTGATAGTATGTTTTAGCAACCTGGGGCAAAGCCAAATGCTTTACAATTGCTTATTGTTGAACTGTGTAGAAACTTAAAAGACAGAGCCTCTGTTGTGTTGCGGTCAGAACAGAAAATCTTAACAATTTTAGAAGGAAAGAACAGCTTGCTTTTCAAGGGGAAGCGGGACACACAAGTAGTTGAGAGAAAAGGACTTACTTTTCATTCAGTTATTGCAGTCCCTTTAGGCAGTGTTACCTTCTAGAGAATATACACGTTTCCTGGATCTTCTTCCCTTTTCTCTCTCCGTGTTTGGAGTATTCTGAGTATTTTTTCCATGTGTAATTTGTTGTTCACTTATTGCTATGGCAATTGTCACTAGTAATACAAATTAGTGGTTTATTATGTTCTTGGGACCATTTTTACCATTACCTGTGCTCTTTAGTTTGGGGGACAGATGTTTTTTAAATGGTTACATCTTGATTTAGTTAGGTTACAAGGACCAGAGAAACATTTTGAATTTTTTTTTAATGTTCGTGTCATGAGAAATATACAAAATATTTTTTATAATAAGTACATGCATGTAATTATAATTAAAGCATAAACCTTGTGAAATACTTATTTAATTACTACATACATGGTATTGTATTCTGTTCTGCTCTAATCTGTTCTGGTTGCTTTAAAAAAAATTAGTTGTATGGATAAAAGGGAGTCCTCATATGCTGTTGGTGGGAATAGAAACTGCAACCATGAAGAAACAGTATGGGTGTCCTCCAAAAATTAAGACTGGAAATGCCATGTGATCAGCTATTCTACTTCTGGGTATTTATCTGAAGAATACAAGAACATTAATTTGAAAAGATATAGGCACCCCTATGTTCATTGTATATTATTTTCAGTAATCAAGATTTGAAAACTTCTTAAAGTGTCCTTTGATGGATGAATGGATAAAGGGGTGGTGATAGATTTACTCAATGGAATACTACTGCTACTCAACTTTAAAAAAGAGATGAAATCTGCTATTTTGAGAACATGGATAGACCTTGAGAGGGAGAAAGATAAACACCATGTAATTTCTTTTATATATGGGAAATAAAGAACACAGCAAACAAAACTCAACAACTCTTAGTTCTGGGCTCATGATGGGGGAAGAGAGTAGGGGTAACGGGGTCGGTTGTCTGTGGTGGATGGAAACACAACTAGACTTTTAGTGTTTATGATGATGTGGTAAAAGTACAGATGTTCAAATAGATAGCTGAAACCTAAATCCTATGCAGTGTTAAAAACTGATGTTAATTCAATTATAAGGAAATAGTCAGGACCCACTAATGTGATTGCATTCTGCAGTTTGGAAGAAATAAACTACCCTGAGTTTTTGGGTGGAAATCATTAAAACTCTTTGTAATGATTTTGGTTATAAACTCTTATAGCTGTTGTTTCAAGGTATACCCGCTATAAGAGAAATACTGTCTCAGCAGCAATTCAGATGTGCTGCTATCAGACAGATGTTTCTGTTTAGTACAGGAAAGGATCACTAAAGCTTACTTCATCAGTCAGTGCCAATCATCTGATAGTTTGCAAGATAATGACAAATTCTTGAACCCCTTGTCAAGGGATACTTTTTTTTTTTTTTTGTCTAATTGTCAGTGTACAAAAACTGTTTTTCTCGAGTAAGTGGCATTCCCGAATAGATCCTGTTTTATGATGTCGTCTTTTTTTCTGGAAACCTACTCTGATGGCAAGATGCCTCTACCGACGACTCCTGTCACCTGTTGTACATTTTTAGAGATTTCCTTTCTCTTTTCTTGGTGTCACTTCTCACATATACAAAGGCAGAGAGGGAATATTGAAACTCATGGTCCCATCTCCAAGACTTAACAACTGTCACATGTTCATTTGTTTCAGCACACTCCCTACTCATCCCTCACACACCTCATTCTCCTCTCTTCCCCTGAACTATTTTAAAGCCAATTCCAGATAGTCACTTTGCTCATAAATCCCTCAGCATGTAGCTGTGATAAGGACTTTAATTTTTCTTCCTTTAAAAAGATAGAAGGGGGACCAGGTGAGAAAATAATAAGAATAATGAACAGCCATATACCAGAGACATTTTGTGGGGGTGGGGGT